GCCGCCGCGGCCTCGGTGCCGCCGCCCCCGCTTCCAGCCGACGCGAGGCTCGGACTGAACATTTCGTACCTTCGCGGCCCTTCCCGGGCTCTCGCACTATACCGTTTCCCAGGGGAAATCACTGCCGTTTGCACTGTTGATTAGAAGCAGCCACAAAGCAGAGCTACTGCGCTTTGGAAGCAGTATAGCATTTCGACGCTGGTTTTCCCTCCATGCTGACGTGTTATTACTATAATTCTCTTTCCTTGAAAACACTGTACGAGCAGCAGGGTTGTAGAGTGAGGGAGAAGTTCAGTATGGAGGGGGGAAAGTTACCAAAAAGTATTTTCCAAAAAGTGGATTCGCCCCTTTTGTTTTTTTAACCCCCTCAAGGTGGAATAAGCTCTTACTTGCTGTGAGGAGCTGGAGTCAGTGTGTGTGTAAAAAAGTAGTACCCAGCTGTAAGCATGGGTAAGGGGCTCCCTGGGCCTGTGCGCCTACCTTGAGAAATACTGGGAAAGTCAAAGGCAGGATGGTGAGCCACTAGGGGCGCCCTCCCATTTTGCACACCAGACCGGGTGTGTGCAGGCGCACGTGGGGGCGGCGTGAAGTTTGCTCACAGAACACTCCCGCTGTGATTTACATTATTACAGCACGACTGGTAACTATTCAACATAATTCTCCTTTGATTGCTTTTTATTTCATTGGTAAAGTAGGTGATGAAGCGATTTGGGATGAAAAGAGAGTAGCCAAGACATAAGCGGATGGCTCTCCTGTGCCCAGCTTTATCATGCCCATGTTAGCCCACCCACCTTAGGCCCCCTTACCAAGGCGCTGCGTCTAAAGGTAAGAGCATAAACGATCATTTCATCATTGGTCACCTCACTGCCAGGAATCGTGCAATAATTAAGTATAGTTTTTTTGATGTTGGCATTTGTTTACAATAAGTTTACAACATTGACATTCTTAATTTATTTCACCATTACCCATGAAACTGTAATTCAGGTAGAAAGAGACGACCTACGGATGAAAAACACCTGAGACCTCTCTAATTACTCTTCTAAACTATATTCTAAAAAGGAATTCTCAGTTGAATAAGTCTCCTAAACAGAATTTCCTGTTAAGTTTTCCTCGTTAACTTAGTATAATCGGTCTTCCTGAATAGAAGAAACATAAATTCTGTACATGGCTGAATGTGAATATTTTTGCTGTCTACATCCTTACAAATCAAATACAGCACTCTATAGATATTGTAAATTCAAAGTGGGACTGTTTTCATGAATAGAATTAGTTTGTGTCTCCCTTCTGTGGGTTTACTATCCTCACGATAAACCGGACTCATTTTGATTATCCCAGTCAATGAAATATTATGATCTATTCCTAGGAATATTTAGCATTTCATTTTTAAAATAAACTGTGCAATTAACATGACAAAGGTGAGTGTTAATATTCCTAGAAAAAAATGATATAAAGGGTTTATTCCCAGTTCACATTATAACTTTATACCACTTTCTCTTTTGCACCATATGACCTCAGTACAAGAAAGTGAAATTTGGGTTCCTCACAGTGTTCTCAGAACACAGTACGACATGTCAGCTAATGGCAGAATTGCTCAGTAAAATATAATTAACCATCTACTTATTAGGAGACAATTCAAATAATCTCTCCAGTTTATATACTTTAGATTTAGCAACACTATAAATTTTCTTGATATAAACTACTGATTAAAATGTGTGTGTGGCTTTCTACCAGATCATATTTCAAAATGTTTTACTTTCTTACATTAAGACAATTCAAACTTAACAGAAACTACATATTAGAATGAATAAAGGACATGCTATTGTGTCAAACATGAAAAATGGAAAAAATCCTTATTGTGAATCTTTATTCATCATAGCCATCAGCTGATTGAATTGTTTAATTTATCTCATTGTGATTTTATGAATTTAAGATGTTTTCTTACTATATGTGTTAAATTGTTACCTATATTGTCTTCCTGGAAAAATAGGATTATTTGTAAGGTTTTTATAAGTGTACAATGTATGTATAAATATAATTGGAATCTGGATGACTCTCAGTAATCTTAATTCAACCATGACCACCAGCTGTCTGACAAGTTTTGTAAATTTAGCATCTGTGCGCGCATGCACATGTACGACACGTCCACTATGACATTTATCCTCAAGTGGATTTATCATTTAATGTTTTGTGCAAATGTTTGAGGTACTCATGTAATGGGAAAAGTTGCCCGAAATATGCACATAAATGTCCCTAATTGGCACATGTTTTCACATTTAATTTTAAAATACAACTTTTTATTTAGTTTCTACCCTTTTCATTTCATTTTTAATCTCTGCCTTATTACTTATTTAAAAAGTAAAGGAAATTGTTCATATGAAGCTAGCATACAGGGTGGGGCAAAAATAGGTTTACAATTGTATGTGAAACACAGTTTATTCTTGTATTATTATTTTTCAATTATTGTATTATCTTCCATACGAACAACTGTAAACCTACTTTTGGCCCACCCTGTATTTTCTGAATGGTAAATAAAATGTAGCTAATGTGGACATCTGTAATCGAAACAGACATCATGCCTTATGTAAGCATCAGGAGTCTGTAATGTAAAAGAATTTATATGTGCTTAAGAAAAGGCTATGATGAGTGGTTGGCTCCTTGTGGTGAGATAACTAAACTTTGAATACCAAGAAATATATTATTAGCAAATAGCTTTTTGTCAATGGATAAAAGTTTGGTATTTTAGTCCAAATAGGATTACACATAATGTA